CCCATCTGCATTCTGAATCAGGAAGGACTGGTGCAAGGCGCTACTTAGAGGCCCAGGGCACGAGAGAAGCCCAGGGTGTGACAGAATTACAGGACCCTGTGGTGGATGGACCTGAACGAGGAATAGCAATGTCAGCCTCAACAACAGCTGTACAAAACATCCCTGCTGATTATACCTGAAAGCTAGAGGGAATTGGTCCTACTGCAAAGAATCCAGAAACTAAACAGAAACCAGACAGAAAACCAAGCTATGTCTTACCGCAGGATCCAGTGGTATCGAGAAACCATGGTGGTGCAGAAGAGTTTGCTCCCCCAAATACTTTCACAGAGAAAACCCAGGAATGTGCCTCCAATCATGATCAGACGCTTGTTTTCATAAAACAGGACCTAAATAGCTTTGGGGTCAAACAAGTTTTTCAGGAACTGAGGTATTTTGGTTCCCCCAAAGAAGTCCAGATTTAATTAAGAAGGGATTAAGCACATCTGGACATCCCAGCTTGCACTTCAGTATTATTTAGCCTCACAGGCAGGAGGTTCTGCTCAGGAGACATGCTTTCTTTCTCCCAATGGATTCTGTCCTTAAGTGGCAGGGTATGCGGAGCTGGGATTCATTACACGCCCAGCCTGCATGGCAGAAGGATTCAACAGTTCTTTAAAGTCATAAGAGCTCTGGATGGGAATGTCTGTCACCAAGGACTTTTAGTTTTGTGACTTTTAATCTACCTCCATCTGTTGATCTTACGTTAAGGCTACAAAGATAAGATTAATGGCTCACTTGCTCGCTCACTCACTCGCTCTTTCTTTCTCTGTCCCTCTCCTCCCTCTCTCTTCCTCACTGTCCATCCCTCTCTCACTCGCCCGTGCTGTTTTAGAGTGTTCCTTGTGTCTGTAAACCAAAGCACACCACCTACAGCACAAGCCCTCTCTGATCTCGTGTGGCCACACCCAGTAGAACCACGGCGACTCTGAACGCCAGAGCCTGTCAGTTTCACCCAAGACTCAACACAACTCTTTCCCTCAGATGTAGCCTTTCTTCTTTGACAAGGCCTGTCAGCTTTGAGCTCATGGAGCAATTTCCCCCAGTGTCAAATGCCTGTAGCCCAGTGACTTCATGTCTCCGAGTTCATCTGCAAAATGAGCTGTTTGACTTGATTGCTGCAACTCCCAGGGTTTGACATCATACTGTGTTAGAGTCCCCAGATGCATCAGACCCTTCTAGGGTAGTTCCTCTGACTGACATTTTCTGGTGTTTTTTTATTTGGAGGCCAGGTCCCAGCCCCACCAGTGGAGAGGACGCCAGAAAGGGAAAAGCCAGGCTAGATGGAGGGACAGGCACCAGATATCCTGATTCAAACTGCTAAGGTTAAATCAGTAGCTTTGGCAACCATAAGGCCTTCCTTTCTCCTTCTCCCCTCTGGGACCAGCGCCTGTGTGCTGACTGTTGAAAATCAGTCATTAACAGCCAGGAAATGACTTTCCCATCCATCAGGACCCTGCTCAGCCACGTTCCAGCCTTTCCCCCTCTCCCCGCGTAATTATTCTCATCCACCCCTGATTACGGTTTATAATAGCTGTAATTCTTTTCGAATCAATCACGGCTTTACCACAGGATTACTAGGAGAAACGAGAGGGGACACAGACGCCCCCGGCTGGCCTTCAGATCTGGAAATTGCCAGTTTTCATCTGGGTCTCATTGAATCATCTGGATGTTCAAAGAAAAGCTAAGGTTTTTTTTTTTTTTCATTCAAAGGCATTTTTTAAAAACTCACTCTTAACTTTTCCCTTCAGATTTTTTAAGAAAGGGAATGATGGTTCGTTGAAGCTGATGCCGTGCAAACGCCCAGGAAAGCTGCTTACAGAGAGCAACAGGGACTTCTGCGCAATTGTTATCAAGAGCTGGTGTTTCTTCGGCGCTTTTCCCGCCTGAGGGCTGTGTAAATTGCTCATTTTCTGTGATTTCCGTTGGATAGTTGCTTTTTCTCTGGACTGGTAAACGTTGTTCTTAGTAAAAACTCATGAAAAGGTGTGACCACTGACCACTTACTGAGAAGTTTATGTGATTTATTTTTATTTACCATTTGTTGAACTTACCGTGTGCCATATATTATGCTGGTGGTTTGATACTTTTTTTTTCTAAAAAATAGGTATTATCTAGTTCCTGTATCCAAGAGTTCAATAGCTGGGCATAAAAAGAGATACATAAATTCTGGAATTCGTTATGGCTACCTTGGACTGTGGCAGTATTAAGAATAGTATGAGTGTAGCAAGGAAAACTGTTCACATCTGATCCTAGGGTCCTCAGAAGCAGAGAGGCGGGAAATGAACACCGCAGGAGGTCTTGAGCAGGAACCATCCTGAGGTAGAAGAGGTGAATTCCAAAGCCTTCTGCAAAAAGAGATGCTGAAGGGGACCAAGGCCAGGACGAAGCAAGTGGGCAGTGGCCTGGTCCTGGGCCAAAGGAGAACAGATAACTCTGCACTGTCAGGGTACCCCCAGCAAGCTGTAGAGAACCACAGAGGTCACTCTGGGAAAGTTCTAGAAACCATGAGGTCGCCACGGCAAACCTCCCAAGGAGACACAATATGTTACTGGAGCCGTCATCTCCCAGGCAGGGCCAGCAATGGAAAGGGGTAGCTTTACAGTACTGGATCCCTCGCCGTTACAAATGCAATCTTGAAGCTGGTGCTTTCTGTGAGACTCTGCACAGACAACTAACTTCATGTTTTGCAAGTACATCCATCCAGGCTGACACAGGCTGGTTTATTGGAGAACTTTTAAACTTCCCTAAGGCCTTCGTAGCCCCATTTGCCAGGATCATCACCAACAAGACATGACGTCACTCAAGGGGTCGGCAGTCTGCGGAAACATCCTGGGTAATTTCTAATCTGGAAATTATTTTCTTTCTCAAACAACCAGGGTGGTCCACAGCAGTGGTTTCTAGGCCCCTCCCCCTTAAAATTTCACGAGGCAGTAAAGAAATGTTCTTAAAGTTGTGTGGTGGTGGGGAAAAAAACATGAGTTCTTAATTTTCCTACCTTTTATTTTGCTGTGTATTAAAATGAACAATTAAACTATAATTGTTTTTAATATAAAAAAATGAAGCAAAGATCATCTCAGCATAAACCAATCAGAACCTTTGCTGAAGATTCCCACTCCATTGTGCTTACTTGCATGCTTTTTATATTTCAAAGACTTACTTCATTTTATCATTTACTCACGTGGATATATCTCTGTCTGTGTTTGTCTCTGTGGCCTGCAGAAGTCAGAGGAGGGCATCAGATCCCCAGAACTGGAGATCCAGGTGGTGATGAACCACTGTGTGGGCGCTGAGACCTGAACTCAGGCCCTCTGCCAGGGCAGCAAAACCTTCCAGCCCCCACTTTGCTTTCTGAGGGGAGGGTCTCTCCATCCATCTCCCAGAGTAGCTCTGTGCTCCCATTCACCCTGCCTCAGCCTCACCGGCTCTACAGATAATGTTATGTACTGGCAGTTATGTGCTGACTCAAAGTTGTGTCCTTGAAGACAACGGTCCCTTGAGAGGCTCTGGTCCAGGTGGTCCTGCTTCTCTACCTACAACAGACATTCCAAAGAGGCATGGCACCATGGTCCCTACTCCAAACACACCGGAATAAGCAAAAAGAATAAATGGAAAACACTGTCTTCCCTTCCAACATTGCCCAAATCAACAAGAAGCAATTTAGACTAGAATATTCGAAATGGCCGTTTGAACAGCCCGAGGGAGAGGCCAATATATTTGTCTTGTAAATAAGCAGTTTGTTCATGCTGTGGGGAGATACGAAGCCTATTAGGGCTTTGATGGAGGAGGGCTGTCTATGTGTTGCTTTCATTGGTTAATAAAGAAACTGCCTTGGCCTTTGATAGGACAGAAAATTAGGTAGGCAGAGTAGACAGAACAGAATGCTGGGAAGAAGGCAATGAGGCAGATGCCATGATTCTCCTCTCCGAGACAGCCGCAGGTTAGAATCCTCCTGGTAAGCCACCACC